AGATCTGCAGTCTCTGACTATCTCTTGTAGTAGCTCCTCAGTTTTTGACCATCTCCTGTAGTAGGTCCGCAGTCTCTGACCATCTCCTGTAGTAGATCCGCAGTCTCTGACTATCTCCTGTAGTAGCTCCTCAGTTTTTGACCATCTCCTATAGTAGGCATGCAGTCTCTGATCATCTTCTGTAGTATGTCTGCACTCTCTAACCATCTCCTGTAGTATGCCTGCAGTCGTCTCTGACCATCTCCTGTAGTATGTCTGCAGTCTCTGACAATCTTCCCTATCGTGTCTGCAGTCTCTAACCATCTCCTGTAGCAGGTCTGCAGTCTTGTACCATCTCCCGTAGTAGGTCAGCAGTCTCTGACCATGTCCTGTAGTAGACTGCAGTCTTTGACCATCTCCTGTAGTAGGTCTGCAATCTCTGACCATCTTCTGTAGGAGGTCTGCAGTCTCTGACCATCTCCTGTAGTAGATCCGCAGTCTCTGACCATCTCTTGTAGTAGCTCCTCAGTGTTTGACCATTTCCTGTAGTAGGTCCGCAGTCTCTGACCATCTCCTATAGTAGGTCTGCAGTCTCTGACCATCTCCTGTAGCAGATCTGCAGTCTCTGACCATCTCCTGTAGCAGGCCTGCAGTTTCTGACCATCTCCTGTAGTATGCCTGCAGTCTCTGACCAGCTTTTCTATTATGTCTGTAGTCTCTGACCATCTCCTGTAGTATGCCTGCAGTCTCTGACCATCTCCCGTAGTAGGTCTGCAGTCTCTGACCTCAGTACCACTTCTCCTATCCTGGATGCTGGGTGTAATTCGTGGAATCTGTTCTTATTCTGTATATATGGACTCTGCACAGTACCACGTCTCTCAGGGTTCATGCACATAGCCACAAAAAATGCAACTTTTTATCAGCTGTGTCCAGGCTTGGACATCTGTCCCTAACTGTCGGTAACTGCTTTGTGTGTGACTACATGCGAACAGTGGCAACGGCTGTCAGCCTGTCATTTATTTAAATGGTCTAAGCAACTGCTGCTATTCGCATGCCCCGCCATTCCAGCCGCACAAAGCCGCTGGTTCTAGCCATTGGAATTCAGTGGCTGCATGTAAACAGCTGCGTGAAGGAGGCTTTAGCATGAATGGCTTATAAATAGCCTAACCCGGTGTAGTGGCCTTTGCAATGCTCAGATAAGGTTGCACAGTAAGGATGGCTTGGCTATTATTATGTCTTAGGCTGTGTTCACACATACTGCAGTGAGTTGCATTTTACTGCATTGAATGAACACAGGTCACTGCTAGGACACACAGAGAACAATTGTGTTCTGTGTGTCCCGTTCACACTGCAACACAGCCCAGAGCAGGGGCGGACTGATAACTTATGGGGCCCCCTGGCAATAGGGGATCATGGGGCCCTTGTTTCCTTGCCCACACTCAAAAAAGCCTATAAAAAAAGTACCAGGGGCATTTCACGGATTGGTACAATTTTTTGATATACCTCCTGCTTGGCGGTGTAATCTTAGTGTCGGTGCTGCAAATATATTAGGCAATTGTCACTATGTCTGCAGCACTTCACTACTTAGACCGGTCTTGATGTACAATATTATATGTTCTTAAGGTCTGTCTTTGTATTATCTCATACTGAGGTGATGGTGAACTGAGGTATTTACCTCATTTGTCCACATTTGTACTGTGTAATAAAGCATAATTTTTGGAGTATCGCATTCTGTCCATGATGTAACCACTTTCTGTGAATCTCTTTTCACGTCCCCCCCCCTTTTTTTTGCTGCATTTCATAGGGCCCCCTACTGACCCCGGGCCATCGAGCAGTGCCCGAGTGTTCGAATGGTCAGTCCGCCCCTGGCCCAGAGGTATGGTGCAGTGAGCTGTGCTGCAATTTTATCGCAGTGCATAGGATAGTGCTGCATGTCACCACCAGCAGCGCAAACCACCCTGTTGCTGTGCTATGACATGAATGAAGAATGACTTTGTCATATTTTATTAAAAAATGTTTTTACCTGCTACTGACCCCCCCCCCCCCCAAACAAAAAATGATGTATGGCCCTGATCCAGGGTGTACATACAGAATACTGGGGGTGGGGAGGATGTATGGTGTTAATTCACCGTTACAATTTTTTACAGGTGGGGAGCATGTACAATTTTGCAATCCTGAAGGTAAGGCTGGCATTCAGCTCTGAAGAATGGTCTGTGAAAGTACTGTAACTTTAGATGCAAGATTGCAGGGAAAAGTTCACTAATGTGCACAAAAAACGGGAAGAGAACTTATACATGGGCTCTCTGCCTGAGCCCAACAAGTCTATGTTTGGATTAAACACACACTGAGGCTGAGAGAATTTCAAAAATACATTCCCTTCAAAACTGAAAATGAAGCTTTGAGGTGCAGAAAGAGAGCACAGCCTACTTCCTCTGTACGTTTCTGCTGATCCTGAAATGTGACTGCCATAATGCATGGTATATCAGCTGCAGATTCCTTGTCTCTGTTTCCAGACACCAGTAATTCATGATCCACTGGTGCAGTCCTTGCAGGGTTCAAATGTTACTGTACTTCAAAAGCTAATATTTTCCCCAAATTGTTCTTTTACATTAATTTAAGTTAAGGTCGCCATATGCAGCTCGGTTTTCTTTCATTCAGCCCAGGGGTGTAGATAAGGGGGGAATAAGGGGGTCAAATCCTCACAAAACATCCATTGTACAGCAGCCATTGCTGACAGCCATTGTGCACTCAAGGCACTGCAGTCACCACTTCTGCTGCCTGTCAGGGTTTTTAGAGACAGGTAGCAGTTCATAAAGCAGGGGAGACTTTCTTTTTTGGTCACATGACACAGCTGAAGGAGGACTTCTCCTCACTCTGAACTGCCTGGTTTGACTGGTGAGGGTGTTTCATGAAGGACTAGGGGCATCTGTACTGGGGAGTTGTACTAAGGATGGTTGCAAATGTTACCATGTACACAGTGAGTATGCTCAGGTTTAAAGCCCCTCCCACTGTTTGCCTTTGGCTGCCCAGGATTGAATTCCCCTGGAAAAAATAAATCTGTGCCTCTCGTTCAGCCTGCAGGCTAAATGGGATAAAATCACTTGATTTATCCTAGTTTCTTTACCCACGCTAACAGCATGGATGGAGGAATTTCCACTGCCGGCCCGCAGCTGCCAGAATACAAAGGGGCTGTTGAGCAGTGACCACATCTGAGAGAATGCAGTCACTGTTAGGATGATAATTTTCCACCTAGCTCAGTCCATTTTTTAACTGACTTTTGTGGAGCTTGCAGGGACCCCCATGTAGTGGTGTAGTGTAGAAAAGGCAGCCGGGCGGTCACCCCAGGTGCAATATTTAGCAGGTCACAAAAATAGTCCTGCGCCATCCCGAGCGTGCTGGGTCCAATGCCCCAGCATATCGCCTCCAGCCCTCCTGGGTAATTACAGTCATTTTTATGGAGCAATGGACACCGGCATCCTTAACAACCAGCTGTTGTCAAGGAACAGGCTGGCAAGCCATCCGCCGCCTCCTTAACAACGGAGGAGTCATCACATTCCCTGATGACAGCTGAATGTAAATAAAACAATTGCTGGCAATTAAAACTTCAGAAAAAAACCAGTGTGGGGGTCCCCCCCAATTCATACCAGGCCACGGTGGGCGAGGCAAAACTCATCAGCGGGCGTGGCCAGAATGGCGGCTGAGGCCATTCCTCAACATTGGACTCCTGGGGTCGGTTGAGCAGCGGTCATCCCTTCACTTTTAATGACAGTGCAATTGTCATTCAATCTGTGAAAGTTGAAGATTGGCCTGGGCAGGAAGGGGGTAAAAGTGCTCAGTATTGAAGCGGTTAAGGATGCTGGCAGCCGCCACACCTTATAATTGCTAATGCTATTAAAACACTTTTTTGAAAACGTTCCTAAACACTGCAAAAATGCCATATAAAACTCTAATATTAGTGTTTTTAATCCAGCATTTCTTCTAGATGTTTTGGAGCCTAAAAATCTCAGAGTTAGGGGGTGCAGATTACTTGCCTTGCCCCAGGCGCCAGCAACGCTAAAATCTCTGTTTATTTGGCCAAAATGTGATAAATCTATGGAGGCCTTTGGACTCATTGCTCACAGAAATGTAACAGAACTGGTAAGACACCATCTCTGCCATCTCAGCTATGCCAGCACAGAGCACTGCAGTGTGAGAGCTGGAATATGAGTTCCCCAATGAGACGCCTGGCACTCATCACTCAGTAAAGAAAAAATATCTGGGTTCTACTTGCACAACTCTAAAATATATTGGTTGTACACTGTGGTAAGGATTTTGTACTACAAACTCCTTTGGGATCTGGAACTAATGTGAGCCATTCCTTGGAATTGTCAATGTAATTTGAGCACCATGCAAAAACATTCCCATACCCACTTTTTTTCAATATCACATTTCTGATTCAATAAATTTATTACATTTTAGTTGAACACTGTAGTTGTGGCTAAAGCTGTAGGGTGATCACACCAGGAATCTTACGCTATATTTCTCATTGAGCTGTATTATATTTGCAAATCAGTGCTTAAATTCAGGCTTTTTGAAGTGGCAGAGCAGTAACAATTTTTTAGAAATACTTAACCACGTCAAGTCCAGGCATTTTCATCCCCTTGCAGTCCAGGCCAATTTTTAGCTGGTATGGGGTATGGCAGTGATCAGGGCACTGGTATGGCGTACAGCAGGGTGCTGACATGCATATGGCGGTGATCAGGATGCTGGTATGGTGTATGGTGGTGATCAGGATGCTGGTATAGCATATGGCGGTGATCAGGATGCTGGTATGGTGTATGGCGGTGATCAGGATGCTGGTATGGCATATGGCGGTGATCAGGATGCTGGTATGGTGTATGGCGGAGCTCAGGGTGCTGGTATGGCATATGGCGGTGATCAGGGTGCTGGTATAGTGTATGGGTGGAGAACAGAGTGCTGGTACGGCATGTGACGGTGATCAGGGTGCTAGTATGGCATATGGTGGTGATCAGGGTGCTGGTATGGCATATGGCGGTGATCAGGATGCTGGTATGGTGTATGGCGGTGATCAGGATGCTGGTATGGCATATGGCGGTGATCAGGGTGCTGGTATAGTGTATGGTGGAGAACAGAGTGCTGGTACGGCATGTGACAGTGATCAGGGTGCTAGTATGGCATATGGTGGTGATCAAGGTGCTGGTATGGCATATGGTGGTGATTAGGGTACTAGTATGGGGTATGACGGTGATCAGGACATTGGTATGTTGTATGGCGGTGTTTATGTGAGCACTGGGACAGGTGACAGGTGCTGGCTGCATTTTTTATTAGGACTACACTGGGGCAGTGATCAGGGACACTGGGGTTGCTGGCACTGCAGTCTGTGAGTGACAAGCTGCTGACAGGCTGCAGCAGCAGTTCACATTGAGAGCAGAGAGAACCGATACCTAACTTCACTTTCTATTGTTTACTATTTAATTGCTGTGATTGGCCACAGCAATGACATGGTAAAATACCATGTGATCACCTGGACATAGTGCTTAAAGAGGAACTTCACTGATATCTTGAAACTTGCATCAAGGGCACCTTTATAAATGTTTATAAATGTTAATCTGTAAACAGATATGTATAGATAATTGCAGGCTTTTTATTCTTTGCATACCTTCATTTTCTTTTCCTCCACATTCTTCTTAGGGTAGCCATTTTCACTTAGGTCAGATTAATCCATCTGCTTTTACTTCCTGGATTCTGGGTCTGTCTCTTAGAACATGTGACAGTGTACATCATTTGAGGGGAAAGGCACTGGTGATGTAGCCTTCCCAGGATGCATCAGTGAGGCCTGGTTACATCACCAGTGCCTCACTCAACCAGGAAGTGGAAAAACAGTAATTGTAAGTAAAAGTACAACATGTATGTTAACTAATGAATGTAAAATGATTTTGTATCAGCATGCAGAACTGCATGCTGACTGGTGTGATTTTTTTTGTAAATGGGCAGAAAGTCTACTTTAAAAGTACAACGTTGTCTATTTAAATGTCATTACCTTCACCACAAGTCTGAAGAACAAGGTTTTAATCCTCAGAGCTAGTTTATCACAGCATTAGCAATATCCTGTACTGAGCCTCTGGGAGATAGATCTAGACTTGATGTGTGGCCAGTGTGGCCGTGGGTTTTCAATCCTAAATTGCAGAGGAGAGATCAATTACAAGGCACTGCGCAATGGGATTACTGGTGGCTATCTGAACAATCAAGATTTGAAAACCAAATTCGTTGTGGCTGCAGGGACATCCTTAAGTTAAAGGCAAACATTTTTTTACATTACTGCATTCTCTGCATTAAGGTAAAAAAAAAACTTAGTGGCTCTATTGGCATCCCCCCCCCCTCCCCCCACTGCAAAGCACTTTCCTGCGTTGTCCTGTCTGCAGCAGCTCTTCTCCCTTCTTCCTGGTCTTACCAGCTTTGGGAGTCCATACAAATGCCCCCATAGTAAGCGACTTGCTATGGGGGCACTCAGAGAAGAGGAAGAGCCAAGATGGCTGGTGGGAGACCCCAGGAGAGGAGATTCAGGGCTGCTCTGTGCAAAACTATTGCATAGAAGAGGTAAGACTAACACCTTTCTCATTTTAGAACTGCATTTTTAGAACTGCTTTAAAGTGTTACTAAACCCACAAGAGTAAAATCAGTCTGTATATGCAGTAAAGCATGCTTGATATACTCACTGTTGAACCCAAGAGGTTAATCCTCTACATTGTGTAAAAAGGCTGTTTGATCCTGACTTCTCTGATCCTCCTCTTCTTCCAGTAACCCCCCTCTTATCTCTTGATAAGACATATCGTGTGGAGTCATTCTGCACATGCTCAGTTTGGTGTGTATTGCTAGAGGTATTTTGTTTTCTTGGGAGGGTGCATGTGATCAGCACAGGGCCAATCAGCACTGTCCAGACAGAGGTCAGGGGTTCTGCATCCTCCTAGAGCAGAATGAAAACTCCTACAAGCTTTAACCAGTGCTCAGCTGGACACTGATAGAAGTCACAAGACTGCTCTAATTGCTGATGAGAAAAGGTATTTAGCAGTTTATATTTACTAAAATAATTGCACTTCCATGTTCTGTGTACTGTGGGAGACCAGATATAGTGAATGCAGGGTCCTGGGTTTAGTAATACTTGGTTACAAGTTTGTTGAAAGTACCAACCGCTATCACCTTATTTATAATATTAAATATTTTACATTTATGACATGTTTTCCATATGATTAGGACAGTGTTTCTCAACCTTGTTTCAGTTTAAGGCACCCTTTTAAATTATGGATAATCTCAAGGCACCCCAATCTAAAATGTAAAAAAAGCTATTCTACACACATCCAGTACACCCAACGTTAGAGGCGATTTATTCTTCCAAAGGAAATACTCCTTTGTACACTGATACTGACTAGTATTCCAGTGTGTGGCTCTCATTTTTCTCTCCCTCACTCTGCTAATGTGACCCCAGTGCTGACAGATAAGGGGCAGGGGAGGGCCAAACTAGGATGATATGCATGCACCTGACGTCCGTATCAACTGATGATGTCATTGGTTGTTAGGATGCTGGCAGCTAGAAAGTCATAAAAGTGCACAAGGAAAACCTGTGGCTTTGTGCACTAAAAGGCAGGATTGATCCACCTGCTGGCCTGTATACAATTTTTTGGGCATTTTGCCAAGGCACCGCTGAAGAAGCCTGAAGGCACTCCAGGGTGCCTGGGCAACCTGGTTGAGAAAGGTTGGATTAGGAGACAGAGCCAGGCAAATTCTATAGCACAGACACAGCTTCTAATTGTAGGGTAATTGATTCAAACTTGCATAGTGCTTGTTCAGTGGGCAGCTGCAGAGAGACTGGGGCAATCATATCTCGGAGGACAAAGTTATCAGAAAGGTTAGGAAGCCTTGCCCAGTCACTGATGTTTTTGCTGAGATAGACCACTGCCTGGACTGTCTGCAGCATGTTTACATCAGACCACCTGCCCCTCTCAATGGGCACACGCTCTTGGCTCATCTGAACGTTTATGTGACGACTTATCTTGTTTGAGGGTAGTTAGATTGTAACTGCATGCCCAACTGCCTCTGAGGTCTGGGAACAACTTATCAATTCCTTGAGTTAAAAAGAATCTGTGGGGTTGATTTACTAATATTGGAGAGTGCAAAATCTGGTGCAACTCTGCATGGTAGCCAATCAGCTTCTAACCTCAGCTTGTTCAATTAAACTTTGATAATAAAAACCTGGAAGCTGATTGGTTCCATTTGCCTGGAGTTTGCATGTTCTCCCTGTGCCTGCGTGGGTACTTCGGTTTCCTCCCACAATCCAAAGACATGCTGGTAGGTGAATTGGCTCCTGTCTAAATTGGCCCTAATATGTGTATGTATGAATGTGAGTTAGGGACCTTAGATTGTACACCCCTTGAGGGTTAGGGACTGATGTGAATGTACAATATATATGTAAAGCGCTGCGCAAATTGACGGCGCTATAAAAGTACCTGAAATAAATAAATTCAGAGCTGCACCGTATTTTGCACTCTCCAGTTTTTGTAAATCAACCCCTGTAGCTTAGTGGGAGGCAGATGTATGTGCAGATAGTTTCCTTTTGTCTTCTGTGTCAGAAGTCAGCCTTGGTGGCCATTTGTATTTAGGCCAAATGAACATGGCATAAGAAAGGCTTTATAGACACATCCACTATGTGCTTATCAAGGGAAAACAACAGCAATAGATGTTCTAACGTCTCTGATTGCTATTCCTACTACTAAGCCTTGGCCAACAGTGCTTATTGACATTAAATGGACACCAAATCCATCTGAAAATGGCAAGACTGGAAGACTGTCATCTAATGTTAATGGTCACAGATAAGTCACTATGAACTCTTCAGTTATATTTGTGCTGAAGGTACAAATACAGGCAAATTGTTTAAGCAGTGAAGTGTGTAGTTTATGTAAAGCAGCATCCACTGCCTTTCTGAGAAAAATAAAATTTGTGGCCCTGGTGAAAAAAAGCATATATACAGTACCTACAATTGCTTCTTATTAACATCAGAAATATGGGAGGACATATACAGAAATCTAGGCTTTAACCACTTGCCCTCCAGAGGATTAACCCCCCTTCCTAACCAGGCCATTTTTTGCGATATGGTGCTGTGTTACTTTAACTGACAATTGCGCGGTCATGCAACAGTACATCCAAATTAAGATTATGTCCTTTTTACCCACAAATGGAGCTTTCTTTCAGTGGTATTTGATTGCCTGTGCATTTTTTAGACTTTGCGCTATAAATAAAAAAGTTTGAAAAAAAACCCCCAATATTTTTGAGTTTTTGCTACAAAACATATCCAGTAAAAAAAAAATTTAAAAAATCAAATTTCATCATTAATTTAGGCCAAAATGTATTCTGCTACATGTCGTTGCTAAAAAAAATCCCAATACGTGTAAATGAATTGGTTTACGTGTAAGTTATAGCGTCTACAAATGGCGGTATATATACTGAAATTTTTTACTCTTTAATACTAGTAATGGTGGTGTTCAGCGACCTATACCGGGACTACGGCGGGCATTCTGACACTGGGAGGGGGGACTGACTCCCCAGTGACACTAATACAGAGATCAATGCTAATAAAAAGCACTGACACTGTACTAATGACACTGGGCAGGAAGGGGTTAACACCTGGGGCGATCAAAGGGTTAACTGTGTGTGTGTGTTTTACTGTGTAAGCACACTGCTTTGTATTACTCTGCTTTGCAGAGCAATACAAAACAGTTTGCTGGAGCTAACAGGGAGAGAGATCTGTATTGTTTCCATACAGATCTCTCCCCAATCAGTATTTCTCTGTGATCACTGGGTGCTGGCGGGGAATCACCGGCTAGGACCCAGTGATCAACAGCTGTAACCGCCAACGGCGGCGCAATTAAGGCAAGCACCACCTACCCGGAAATACAAAATCACGTATATACGTGATTTTGCGCACCCCTGCCACCCTGTAGCAGTAGTTCTAGTATAGGGCAGTCGGGAAGCGGTTAAGAGTTAAATATCAGGTAGACAGAAATATTTAAAGAATCATTAAACCCACATAATTAAAAACTATCAATAAATGTTATATTACATGCTGTTCATACTCACTCAGTCCCTATGAGAGTTATTTTTGTATTCTGAAAAAAAACCTGGTTGATCCTACTGTTTTCTGTCTCTCCCTCCTGTCCATTTCCTTACTGCAGTTGGGGTTTTATGCAGAGCAGTGTTGGCAGCTACTGCTCAGTTTTCAGTATGTTTCTATGCTGAGCATTTTCTCCTTTTCACATATGAGCAGCCCATATAACTATAGAGTCATACATATTGATGCCCACTAACCAAGTAAACACAATGGGGGTGAGATATTACATCTTGATTTATGGAGGCTTTGCCACCCTGTTGTTCTAAGACAGGGGTGGGCAAACTTTTTGACTTGAGGGCCGCAATGGGTTCATATATTGGACCCGGGGGCCGGACCAAGAGTAGATGAATGATGTGTATGTGTCATCCATAGTAAGTATAGTAATATTCCCCCATAGTAAGCATAGTAATTAATCCCCCATATAGTAATTCATCCCCCATAGTAATTCACCCCCCATATTAATTCATCCCCCATAGTAATTCATCCCCCATTTAGTAATTCATCCCCCATAGTAATTCATCCCCCATATAGTAATTCATCCCCCATATAGTAATTCATCCCCCATATAGTAATTCATCCCCCATATAGTAATTCATCCCCCATATAGTAATTCATCCCCCATAGTAATTCACCCCCCCTATAGTAATTCATCCCCCCTATAGTAATTAATCCCCCATAGTAATTCATCCCCCATATAGTAATTCATCCCCCTATAGTATTCATCCCCCATAGTAATTCATCCCCCATAGTAATTCATCCCCCATATAGTAATTCATCCCCCCTATAGTAATTCATCCCCCCTATAGTAATTAATTCCCCATATTAATTCATCCCCCATATTAAGTCCCCCCTGTGTCAATTCACTTACCTTTGCTCCGCGCGTTCCTCTCGCCGTGTTCCCGCGCCGTTCCAGTGTAGCATGAAAATCTGTCTCCTATGAGGATCTGTCCCCCTCGACGTATCTGCGCATGTGCCAGTTTCAGGCATTAGCAGCCGATCGGCGATCTCCGGCACATGCGCAGATACGTCGAGGGGGACAGATCCTCATAGGAGACAGATTTTCATGCTACACCGGTCTTCAGGGCGGACTGTGAGAGGAGCCTAGAGGGAGCCTAGCTCCGCAGGCCGGATTAAAAGGTCCGCCGGGCCATATACGGCCCGCGGGCCGTAGTTTGCCCATTGCTGTTCTAAGACATAGGCTAAAGGGGTTAGACACAGCCTGTAACCAGGGGCGGACTGACCATTCGGGCACTCGGGCACTGCCCAAGGGCCCGGGGTCACTAGAGGGCCCCATGAGAGGCTCAGTCCGTCCTCTGGATATGCCGCTGCTGAAAGGAGGAAAAAAGGAGGTGTTGCAACGGCGCAGCGCCACGGCAGGCACTTCGGACACCTCTGCTCGGAGTTTCCACAGAGGGTCAGGTCCCACATCTCTGCCACAGGACGGGCGGCCAGAGAAGAGAGCGGAGTCATCGTTGTGCTGACCTGCCCTGTATCCTGCAGCAGGTCAGTGTGTAATCCCCCCGACCCCGGTGACACTGACAGCACTGCAGCTTAACCGCCTCCCGGTTCTCTTGTTCTAGGAGGACATCATATGACGTCCTCCCACTCCAACGATCGGTGGTGCACTGTGTCCCTGGGACACAGCGGATCACTGATCAGCAGAAAGAGCTAAAGATTTCGGCTCGGTCATGTGCTCAGCTGTGTCCAATCACAGCTGATCGCATGTAAATAAGGAAATGTTGGTTATCGGCATTCCTCTCCTCACCAGCTGTCGGGCTTACAGCTCGAGAGGAGAGCCGGTAATCGGCATTACTCAGAGGGGACATCTACACTGATCATCAGGGCACTGATCAGTGCCCTGATGATCAGTGTAGCCCCATCAGTGCCACCTGTCAGTGTCCATTAATGTCACCTGTCAATGCCA